CTAATTTTTTTAAACGGACGAGAATTAGATCTTATTTTTGACTATGGAGTCCTACAGCTCTAATGAAACCTTCTATACAAATTTTTTTTATTTCATTATCGTTATGGTTTTTTTAAAAAGTACTCTAAACTGTATAAATAATGTAAAATTGTATTTATTAGCCAATCAGACGAACTTTTGCCTGTATATGCAAAATTTATGCGCCACAGTTAGGAATGTTACACCATACGTATAAAATGCAATATAATAAATACAAGCATATCACATGAAAACTCCTTACTTGTCCCAATTTTTATTTAATAATTATATACAAAACCATGAATTGTAAAAACTCACTCTCTCTTTTTCTCAGTATATAAAATACCTCAAAAGTCTGTGAAATGTCACAAAATAAATATTTAAGACTTGAAGAAAACTATTCGACCGAAGAAGATGGATTTGAACTATCAGAAATATCTAATAAATCTTCGGATAACCTTGATTATGGTTTGAGAAATCGAACTAGTACTGGTGATCTTGAGGACAATGAATATCTGTTGGATGATCGTAAAAGATCAATAGATACGGAAAATTTAGAGAATTCACCTATACCTATGGTGGCTGCGGTAATTAATTATATTTAGTTATTATCGGTCCAATTTTTAAATTGAAAATAACATTAGAATTTAGGCAGTCAGTGTAAAAGACGATCCATCTCTACCTTGTACTACATTTCGATTTTGGATATTAAGCACTGTAAATATGTTTTTATAATGTTAGTCCATGCAAAATTACTCGCTTTTCAATATTATAATTTGTAACTTCGTGTTCTAGGTATTTACATCACTTGGCGCTGCTGTCTCTGAATTTTATTATTTTCGTTCAAACGGTGGTGGTTATTCAATATTCTTTGTGTTACTTGTTTCTTATATTGTTGGAAGATGGATGGCTAGTGTTCTTCCAGTAGACGAATTCAAATTTTATAAATGGAAATTTACTTTAAATCCTGGTAACGTTTCATATTTTACGAACTTTGGCAACCTGATTGATTACAGGATTTGTTGTTTCACGTGAAAATTTTCAAACAGGTCCATTTAATGTTAAGGAACACGTTCTTATCGCTGTGGCAGCTGGGGCTGGTGGTGGCTCAGCATATGGCACAGTAAATATTTTTTACCTTGTTCTATTTATCATCTATGTTTGCTTCTTTAATTTATTCTTTATTACAAACTATAGGACATTATTGCAATACAGGATTTATTTTATAATCAACACCCAGGTTTCTTAATGGGAATATTGCTTTTATTGAGTACTCAGATGATTGGATATGGATTGGCTGGATTTTTAAGAAAATGTAAGTTATCTTTGATTCTTTATTTTCAATCTTAAAAATTGTTAGTAACAATATATTACAATTGAATAGACCTTGTACGACCTGCTAATATGTTGGTACGTTTAATTTCCTTAATAGACATAATGATATATCGCCGTTTTCTCTTAACTATATTTTTAATTTTTGCTAATTTTGGTACATTGATAGTGGCCTTCTAATTTGGTGTTTTCCAGTTTATTCTCAACTCTTCATGGAGATGTGTCCGATACACAAGACAAATTAAAATTTTTTACCATAACATTTACGTTAATGTTCGTGTGGCAATTTGTCCCACAGTTTATGTTTCCAATGCTGACAAGCATAGCATTATTATGTTTGATTAAACCATTTAATAATGATATAGTCCGGCTTGGGAGTGGTTACCAGGGTCTTGGTATTTTAAATTTTTCTTTAGATTGGAATGCTATAGGGCAACCTGGACCACTGTACACACCTTGGTAGGAAGAATAAGTTCAGAGATCCGTCGTATCAAAGATATTTAGGCTTATCATAAATATTACCATTTTAATCACTTAGGTGGGCGCAGGTAAATTGGTACGTTGGCGTGATAGTTGGTTCTTGGATAATAGCTCCAATTTTGTATTACAATGATTTTTGGTAAGAATTAATTGATTAATATTTAGTCACAACGTTATTATATTCTCATAGCTAAATTTATTAATTAGGATGGCAAAAAAGTTTCCAATTTTAGCAACATATTCTTTAAACAAGGATGGTGAAAGGTGAATTATTAACAATAAAAATATTACAACAAATGTTAATATATTTTATTCAACCATAGTTGAATATTAATTTATTATTTAATTAATGAATTAGATATAACCAATCTGCTATAATAGATTTTAACACTGGTGCTTTGAACGAAACTGCCTATAAAGAGTACGGTCCTGTGTATCTAAGTGTTACATTTGCAGTTGGGTATTTTTATTCTTTTATAGCCTTTACTGCCGCAATTACGCATGTGATTCTCTTTTACGGCGATGAAATTTGGGATAGATTCAAAGCAAGTCGATCAGAAGAAGTTGAGGATATTCATTGTAAAATGATGAGAAATTATGAAGGTTAGAAAATATTTAATTTCTTAATCTCAGAAAATTATGTATTTAATTTGATTTATGCGCTTTTCTTTAGAAATTCCAAATTGGTGGTATGCTTGTATATTTGTATTCATGTTGTTGACCGCAATAATTCTTTGCGACGTATCCGGGTCTCGTCTGCCGTGGTGGGGTTTAATAATCGCTGTTGGCATAGCGTGCATTATGGTATTACCAATAGGTAGTATTGCTGTCTAATAATTTCTTTTTCATATTTCATAATTTGACATGATCTTAATAATTCTTTCGAATTAAACGTTAAGGAATTATTCAAGCTGTGTCAAATAATCAAGTCGGTCTTAACGTCATCACAGAAATGATTTGCGGGTAAATGCAATTTTATGCTTTTCTTAAATTTGATTCTTTTTAAATCTTACATTAGCTATATACATATTAGATATATTTTTCCGGGACTTCCTATTGCAAATGTATATTTTAAATGTTATGGCTATATGGCTATGTATCAATGCCTATCATTCGTATCAGACCTTAAGCTTGGTAGTTATATAGAGATATTTGTTGATAATTTAAAATTATTATATTATTATATAGTTGATGCTGTCTAATTGCGCACTATCTGTGAACATCAATTTTTTTATTTTTAAGCATTTAAATACTGTATATTGATCAAATTCTGTAAATTTGTTTAATTCAATTAGATAGTATCAACTGTACACAGTATATTATGTTTATGTTTTTTTTTTTATTAGGACACTATATGAAAATCCCACCTAAAGCAATGTTTACAGCACAATTGTGGGGTACAATTGTTGGTGCATTCATTAACTATTGGATTTTACAATTGATAATATACGCCAAACGTCCTTTTTTAGACGGTACAATGAGAGATCCAACTGGTCAATGGACAGGATATCGATCACAAGTATTCAATACAGCATCGATAGTATGGGGATTAATTGGACCGGGAAGAACCTTTGGTGATGTAAGTATTTAAATTATTTTTATATTTCAGATTTATGATACTTGTTTCTTATATTACATTAAATTTATGTGTAGGGTTCTATATATCATCCTTTACTTTGGGGATTTCTCATAGGATTTCTTGCACCTATTCCATTTTATCTTTTGCATAAAAAATTTCCAAATGCCAAATTTAATTTAGTAACCATTCCATTAATTTGTAATGGATTATCTATTCTTCCTGGGACATATACCAATTTCATAATAACAGGGTTGATTGCAAGCTTCCTGAGTCAACATTTGGCGTATCACCGGTATCCAAAGGTTGGACTTTTATTTATTAATTTATTTTATTTTTTCAAAAGGTTTTGTTAATGTATTAATTATTGTTGGTTATGTGTAATATCTAGTGGTGGAACAAGTACGCGTTCTATTTTTTTTAACTAGATTTTGAATCCCTTAAATATTATTATATTCTAATTTTTATTTATAACATACAGATATAACTATGTGCTTTCTGCTGCATTTGATAGCTCTTCTCAGATAGTAACAATGGTTATATTTTTTCTTTTCAATATTTTGACTAACGTATGTATAGTTTAATAATTTTATTTTATTTTATTTTTTTTTCTTTCGCATTTATTTTATTTATTGATTTGATTATATTTTTAATAGATATCTTTTCCGGAATGGTGGGGAAATAATTTAGAGACTCAGGGTGAAAGATGTTTTAAATCACAAACACCTTAGTTGGGCAAATTTATTGGATTTAGAGTTGGTTTATATTGTGACAATAGATATTAATACATTATCTGATAAGTTTTATTTTTTTTGTGTTAATATTGTGTATGACTAGGTAATACGTGCCAGAAAGTCTGACATTTGAGATTTTATCAGATTTGAATTTAAGATAATTCTACAGTTATACTATATAATTTGTTATTATATAATAGATAATTATAAAAAATAATTATTAGGATTTTTAATTTCAATAACCAATGGTGATTGATTATTTTTTATTTTTAAGATTAGGATGCAATTTTAGGATAAGATTTAGGTTAGATATAAAGGACCAAATTCTAGTTAGAAGTAGGTTTTTGAAGGTTTTGATTATTTTGACTTAGATCTTTTTATAGTTATATTTATTTATAATTATAAAAATTTTTAAAATTATATAAAATTAATTTTTATATAAGTACAGTATATAGAATTTTTAATGTCAAGCATGGGCAAAAATAATGCTTTTATGTTTTTTGTTTTTTTTTTGCTTTTCTTTTTTTTTTTGTTTTTTTCTTTTTTTTGTTTTTTTTTTTTTAGTATACATTTAGATTTTATAGTTAGTTCTTTTTTTACTCCTTTTTTAGTTTTTTTTTTATATATTTTGTTGTTTATTAGGCAAGGATTATGGAATTCTCTTGCTTGATAATTAGAAAAGAAAGAATTTAAAGATTTAGCAGCCATGATAAGCTTGTAAAAGCATTTAGTGATATATTTTGAAGGTTTAATTAATTTGAAATAATAAGTATTAAGATAATATTTACTATAGCAGGTTACATATAAGTGCTCTAAAAAGTAATTAGATGAGTTAATATTTAAAAATAAGATAATAAGAGCATGTTCTTAGAAAACTTGATTATAGTTTTGAAAAGTTATCTGAATAAAAAATATTGGCATAGTTGTTAAAACTTAAAAAAAATATATATATATATATAATATTATGTAAATATATAAATAAATTTTTAAAGTTTATAATGCAATTAATATTACTTAGTTGAGAATTTCATTTTTTTAAATATATTTATAATATAATTAATATATAGTAAAAATATAATTAAAATATATTTTTTATATTTTTTTTCTATTAACTCTCTTGTAACTAGCTATTAATTATATAAATATTATATAGTAAAAAGTTTAGAAAATAAATATTTAAATTTTAAAGATAAAAATATAAATATTAAAGTTAAAGTTAAAATTAAAAATAGTTAAATTAAGAGGTATAGCAACCTAGTGAAGTGGTCAGGCTGTTAACCTTTCAAGTAGTAGATTAGCTATTCAAATCTTATTAATAGTAAAAATTTAAATAATTACCTATATAATATTTGTATTATAGCAACTGTTACTAATAATTAGATTAGGATATTTGTAATAATAGTCATACTAGCATAACTGGCAAGTTATAGGACATCTGTACAATGTTGGAGTTATACAGAAGAATGCAAACTAACAACTAGGTAATACAAACATTAGATAAGTCTTTGTAATATATAAATTTGTTGAAATTATGTAACAAGAAGTCTATTTGAAAAAGCTTAAATAGAGAAGTAATAAGATCTTTAATAGTATTACTGTAAAGACTAGTTCAAAGAAATAGATATCTAGGTCTTAGTAATCAAATAGGTAAAAATCTCCTAATTGAAAATTTCAAAGATACTACCAACTAAGCTGTCAGAATGAACTAAAGAAAAAGGATATTGGGCCAACTTAATATACTGATAGATTGGTTATAGTCTATATAGGCTATCTAAATTAGAAATCTGATAAAATTCAGGAATATACTAAAGTATCAAAATTATACTGTGAAGTAGATGCTGAGGTTTAAGTAAACTTTACAAGAATATAGTGATTTAATGATTAAACTCTGATCACAAGTATTGGTTCTGCCATAGTGATACCTAGATTAGCTATAAAAATAAATACAGAAGGTTCTAAGGATTAGTTTATCTTAAGAATAAATAGTTCTAAGATTGAAACAATAATCTGGATATCTGAATATGATCCAGCAAATTAATACAAATTACAGGTTCAGAAGGTTTAAAGTAGAACATTCAAGTAGAAGTATTAGGTATAGCAATTAGTATAAAACCTTTGAACAGACTTCTTAAATAGGTAATATAGAAAAGTTACATATGTAGTCAATTATATGTTGTATTAGTTCATTGAATTATAATACCAAAAAGTCATTAATAAAAATCAAAAGCCCAAAGAAGTCATCTTAATATTAAAAAAAAAAATAGTCAAATTATATAAAGTTTATTAAAAAAATTTTTTTATAAAAACCAAAACTATTTTTTTTTTTAATTTTAAACAGTTATACTAGTATTTTATTAAGATTCTTGAAACTATATATTTATACAATTATATAAAATTTCCTAATATCTAAATCTAGCATCATTTGGCTACTCTAATGGCATCTAAATGCAACTTGTTACACTATTCTAGTTAAGGATAGACTGCTCATTTAACTACTTAAAGCCATATCAGAAGGGTCTTCTTTCTTCTGTAACAAGTATATTTATTATCTTTAAGGCTTCTTTTTTTATTTGGTCTGCCTTTTCTGTTTTTTTTTTCTTTTTTTTTTTCTTTTGTTTGTTTATCTTTCTTTATCCTCTTATTTGTTTTTTTTCTTGCATAAGCACTTTTTTTCATTTTATTCATTATATTGATTTTTTTTTTCCAAGCTTGTATTTTTTTACATTGTACTCTCTATACTTGGTCGTAGAAGGTGTTTTATACTGTTCTTGTGGCTATATCTATACACTTCTATGTTGTTTGTTTGCTTAAGAGTTACTTCAATCTTTTCTCTACTTTCAGTATTGTAAATTCTTTTATTAGCACTTTTCTGTTTGTGATTTCTTTCACTTCTGTTTCTTCAAAAAATGTCTTATAAAGAACTTGTAATAGAATTTTGTTTTTTTCCTTTTTCTTGAATCTATTTCATGCTATTGCTGTTATAACTTTTTGTATTCATTTTCATAAACTCATTTGTTTACTACAACTTGCTAAATATGCCTGAGTCTCTTTTTCTTCAGCTTGACATACTTGACACTTTGCTATTGTGTATACTTCTGGTCTTCTTCTGTTTAGCTTCTCAAGTATTAATAGGCTATCTATTATGCACTTGATTGCTGTCACTCTTCTTGTGCTGAGTTTTCTTGATGTACAATAGACTCCTTTTGTTTTGTTCATTTCTTTTCAAAAACTTGACCAATTATATAGTGCATTTTCTATTTCTGGTTCTAATGTCTGTATTAGATTTGTCTTTTTTCAACTAGCTCCTATTCTGGTATTTGCTATTATTTTACATAGAAGACATATTAGTATATCAATTTTCTTGTTTTTTTATTCTAAATGGTACTCTATTCTATCACATTTGACTTTATCTATATATATTTTATTTTGGCATTTTGCTTTTTTTTCACAAGAATGTCTGCTCTATCATTCTACTTATTTTTACTATAACTTTTAATCTTGGTTATTTCTATTCTAATATTTTTATTTTTGATTAGATTTACAATATTCATTATCCATATTGTATTTTTCTTTTTCAGGATTTTTCTTTTTCTATATTTTAAAGAGCTCTATTAATATTTCTTAATGCTGCTATGCTATTTGTAAAAACTTTTATGCTTTTCCCTTTTGGTATTGTTAAAATTGCTGTTCATATTGTTGCTAATGCTGCTATTGTTGCTAAAGGTCAGCCTTCAAGTTCAAATACAATTTTCTCTTCTGGCCAGTTTTCTTCTTCTTCTACTTGTACCCAACTGATATTCATTCTTTTTGTATTATTTTCTTCTTTCTTCTTATATAATGCTCTATCAGTATAGAAACGGTATTTTCTTTTGTCTTTCTTCTTGTTTTATGTTAATATCTTTATTAACTACTTTGTAATTATACTCTCTATTTCTTGTTTTCTAATTAGTTCTATTTCTAATTCTTCTGTTTGTCTTATTTCTAATAACTTTATTTTATCTTTTTTCCATTCTTCTATTATTTTATCTTCTAGTATCTGCTCTAATATTGCATTTATTCTATTGTTAGCCTTCTCTATTATCAACTTTAGTACCACATTTATGTTGTAGTCTTGTCTTATTCATCTTTTACACTTGTCTGTCATTTGTTCTAAACTGTTTTCACAACCTTTATATATACTTAATTCTGTCAATATTTTACCTTCTTCCATATGTATTGATCAATGTTCTGCTAACACTTTTTTTTTTTCTTTCCTAATTACTTTGCCTACTTGTCAGTTATGTTTCAATCAATAAATAATCCATACTTTTTTCCTTCAGTCTTCAGACATCTTTGTTCACTTAATCTTTAGTGCTTATGTATTGTATCTTCTTATTTTGTATTGGTCTTGTATTTTTCTGCTTGCTTGTGTTTTTAACATCTTTCTTTCTATTTTGCTAAACCACTTCACTTTCTTTCCTTTACATAACAAACCTTGAAGACTCTTAAGCTGTCTCCATATGATTAGGTTATTATCTTTTATATTTATAAGTTGGTTCAAGTATAATAACCTCTATTTATTTATTGTGCTACTGCTTGCTATTTACATTTTTGTTTCTAGCATGTCTCTTATTTGTTTGCCATGTCTATAAATCTTCTATAAGAGTCTTTTTGCTCTAATGTTTATTCTCATTTCTTTTGCTTTAGCTATTGTTCGACAGGCTAGATTGTTCTTTCAAAACTTCTTAAATTCTATTTTCCTTTTATTGTCCTAAATGTCTTCTGTTAAGACTGTTTTCTGACATCCTTGAGCTATTCTAAGTCTTGTTAATTCATCCAAACTATTTTGTTTATTGAGTTTTAAGAAAAGACTACTTATTTGCTTGGTTATTATCTTTTGACTTAGAATTTTACAATTACCTAAGTCTTTATGTTCAATTGTGCAATTGTTTGATGTTCTTATTATGTTGCACTTATATTTAGCCAAGCATATTAATAGTTGATATATTTTATCAATC